TCATGAGAAATGACAACCTTGCCAAGACCCAATACCTTAGAATGTGAGGCATCACCCCATTCGACATTGGTGGGCATAGATGGGATATTGTGCACGTCCACCACCAAGTCCTTGCTCCCAGTCATATGATTTGTTGCTCCACTATCGAGCAACCATGATCCCCCACCGGAAGCAAACACCTACAAGAGATCAATGCTTGGTTTTAGGTACCCATTGAGTAATGGGTCCTTTGATGTTAGTAACAAGGGTCTTAGGAACCCAAATAGACCATTCAATGTACTCATAAGGAGAACCAACAAATTTAGCATAAACATGTCCATCACTAGCACAGCACAACACATAAGAGGGGTTAAAGTCGCCGGCTTTGTTGGGAGAGATGGCGTTGCGCTCTTTGGCTTCACCGCTCTTCCTTAGGAGCACCTTCTCCCTCCTTCACAAAGGTTTGCGTGAGCGGAGGAGGTCGATTGGTCTTGCTCTTCTTCTCCTTGTTCTTCTTATTGTTCTTGGACTTGGGTGCGAACCCAACTCCCTCCTTTCCCACAACTTCCTTTTGATTGCTCAAAAGGTCATTTAGGTTCTTCTCACCTTGTATGCATGACACAAGACCTTTCTCGAGTTGTTCCTTCAACTTGGCATTTTCCTCCACAATATGCACATGCTCACAACATAGGTTAGTAGCATTTGCATTATCAATTAAGACCATGTGAGGAAATGTGGCATTTTCCTTAGTTAGCTTAACTTGGAGTTGAGCATGAGACTCCTTGAGGGTGGCATGAGCACTTTTCAAGACCTTGTGGGCCTTGTCAAGTACATCAAACTCCTCCGTGAGTCTAACATGATCAACCCCAAGTTTAGCCTTCTCAGAAGCTAGAACACGAGACACAACAAGAGCATGATCAAGATCTTTCTTTAGTTTAGCATGACCATCGTTGTGTGACTCCTCAAGAGCCAAACGATGCTCACGCTCTTCCTCAAGAGCATTAGAGAGATCCAATATCTCATCGGCATAGTCACGACTATGACTTTCCATCTTAGTGATGGTTTCTTCATGAGCCTCGATCATGTCATTGGCTTCACCAAGTTGTTCCAAGAGAGCAATGAAATGCTTCTTGGATTTGCCCTTGAGCTTACTCATGAAGGACTCAAATTCATTGATCTCCTCATTAGACCCCTTACCATTATCAAAGTCATCCGTTGAAGGAGGGTTAGGAATAATGGTGGTTTTGATGTTGGGGGCTACCTTGTTGGTGGCCTTAGCCATGAGGCACTTGGCGGTGATGTTCTCGTTAGGTGCATCAAAGAGAGACACCCGAGGAGTTGAGACAATGGCAACGGATGCCATGGCCATTGTTTCACCATCTTCATCATCATCGTCATCCTCACGGTATTCTTCTTGAACCACCAACCCATGATAAGGAGTCTTCTTGGTGAAGTTGTTCTTGTTGGGGAAGGACTTGGCTTTGTCTTTTCGAATGAACTTGCCACCATTGTCTTCCCGCTTCTCGTATGGACAATCCGCAATGAAATGACTGACATTGCCACAGTTGAAACAAGTTCTAACTCGTTGCTTCCCTTTGAGGCCACTTTAGTTGTTCTTGTTGAAGTTGGGTCTTGTAGTCTTCTTACTCCAAAACTGTCTTGAGGCAAGAGCCATGTGCTCATGATAATCCTACTTCGTGTCCTCGGGGTTGCTCTCCTCATCTTCCTCTTCTTCTTCTTATTCCACACTAACGTTGGCCTTCAAGGCAAGATTGGGCTTCTTTGCCCTTTGGGAACGGAGCACCGCATTGTCGGCGGTCTTATCCAAGATGTTCATTGCAACAAACTCATCCAACACTTCACCAGAGGTCATGGAGTGGAAGTCCGGTCTTTGGCGGATGACGAAGGACATGGCCTTGTTGTAGGGCATCATGGCCTTGAGGAACTTGCGCTTGATCCAGTTGTCATCCGTGTCCTTACTCCCATGATCTCGGAGTGCGACCGCAAGTTTGGTCACTCTTCGAAAGAGCTCACGAGGTTCTTCATCTTCTTTCATTGCAAACTCATCGGCTTCATCTTGCACCACTTCATAGTTGGAGCGTTGAATGCTAGCACTTCCTCGATACATATGCTCGACACACTTCCATGCTTCTTTAGCCATGACATGAGGTCGAAGATGAGGGAGATCTTCGGGAAGGATAGCATCTTGGATGATGAAGAGAGCACTCTCATTGAATTGGTTGTCCACTTCTTCTCGAGGGGTGAAGTTGCTTGGATCATGAGGATAGAAACCTTCTTCAATAATTCTCCAAAGGTTAGTATTCACATGTTTTAAGTGACGCTTGAAGCGATAAACCCAAGAATCATAATCTTCATTTTTCACATATTTAGGAGGAGGACCGGCATGATTCAAATGCGTAGAGGGGATCGGTCCTTTATACACCGAGGGTTCCACATGGGCATAGATGTCGGTGCCATTTCTACCACTAGTAGACGAACTCTTTTCACTATTAGCTTCCCCCTTGTCGGGGTTAGCATCCGTCACCTTGTTAGTGGGATCACCCACTTTCATCGGCGAGGTAGATAGTTTGAGTCCCTCTAGGAATTCAGTAAACATGCTTTTAACCTCGGCCGTCATGGAGGTTTTCAATGTGTCTAAAGCCACATTGAATTCCTCACGAGAGACCGAGGTTCCCCATTCGGCTGAAGACGAGACGGGATTCACACCGGAGTGCTCCTCCGCACCGTCGTTGGTGTCAACCATACTCTTCGGACGGCAAAGTCCTTAATAAAGAGACGAGGCTCTGATACCAATTGAAAGGATCGATATGGTTGACTAGAGGGGGGTGAATAGGCAACTAACAATTTATAGACTTTTCTTTAACAAATTAAAACTTACAATGAAATAGGTTGTCTAGATGTGCAACTACGTGGACAACCTATATGATGCAAAGACAATGAGCACGCAAGCAAGCAATGGATATAACTCGAGTAAGCTTACAAAAGTAAAGGGACAAGATAACCAAGAATGGAGCCGGTGGAGACGAGGATGTGTTACCGAAGTTCCTTCCTTTTAAGGGGAAGTACGTCTCCATTAGAGCGGTGTGGAGGCACAATGCTCCCCGAGAAGCCACTAGGGCCACCGTAATCTCCTCACGCCCTCACACAATGCAAGATGCCGTGATTCCACTATTGGAGCCCTTGAAGGCGGCAACCGTACCTTTACAAACAAGATTGGGGCAATCTCCACAACAATTGGAGGCTCCCAACAACACCATGAAGCTTCACCACAATGGAGTATGGCATCGAGGTGACCTCAACCGTCTAGGGTGCTCAACATCCAAGAGTAATAAGATCCGCTAGGGATAAGTGGGGGGAATCAAATTTCTCTTGGTGGAAGTGTAGATCTGGGCCTTCTCAACCAATCCCGAGCAAATCAACAAGTTTGATTAGCTAGGGAGAGAGATCGGGCGAAAATGGAGCTTGGAGCAACAATGGAGCTTTGGGGGAAAGAGGTAGGTCATCTTTGGGGAAGAAGACCCCTTTATATAGTGGGAAGAACAATCCAACCGTTATCCCACTTACCAGCCCCGCACAGAGCGGTACTACCGCTGGGGAAGGGCGGTACTACCGCTCCACCCAGCGGTACTGCCGCGCTGCCTGGGGCCCTGACTCCAGGGCGGTACTACCGCCAGGGAAGAGCGGTACTACCGCCAGGGAAGAGCGGTACTACCGCTCCGGGCGGTACTACCGCTTAGACCCAGCGGTACTGCCGCGCTGCCCAGGGCCTTGTCGCCAGGGCGGTACTACCGCTAGGGAAGGGCGGTACTACCACTTAGAGCGGTACTACCGCCCCTACTACCTCCCTTAGTGCCGCAAAACCCGACACGAAAAATTCGTTCGAGAATCGAGGCAGAAGTAGCCCAGTCGCACAGCGGTAAGACGGCCGAAACACCCAAGCGGTACTACCGCTCTGAGAGCAGTACTACCGCTTGGAGCGGTACTACCGCTCTGAGAGCGGTACTGCCGCTGTGGAGTTTTCAGCGGTACTACCGATGTGGACGCGGTACTACCGCTAGGGCAAAGCAGAGCATAGTAAGGGGAAAACAGCAGCTCCAGAGATGCGGAAGGAAAGACGACGGGTGTGATAATGATGTGTACGTGTGATTCCACCCAAGTCTTACCAAAACGGATCCCCTCTTGATAGTACGGTGACTCCTACGAAACTAGTCCACCAACAACGAAACGAAGGAGCTACACCGTCTTGAATTACAACACCGAGGGGAGGAAATCGTCTCGTGCCAATGGATGAATCTCTGAAAGAACTAACGCACACGATTAGTCTGCACAAGCATTGTCATCAATCACCAAAACATATTGGGAATAAATATGCCCTTACAGGGTGCTACCCGGGCCACTACCCAGACCATTCACCTAACCCTAACATCAAAAGTCGGAAGCCCCAGCTGAGCCACATACCGGGTCTGGGGTACAAACCGGTTCGACGCACTCGTGTGTCGTCGCCGCCATCTTCCACAGGTCCGTCTTCAGAGAAAATATTGAGGCTTCTACCTTGTCTGGACACTCAACCATCGACGTCACCACGACACCAGAAAACTTCGTCCTCCTGCGCGAGTCCATCGCCACACGTCGGACACCGAATCTCCACCGTGCCACGCCGTCGAGATACGCCGCCATCAAGTAGGATGAAGCACCGCTCCGCCGAGTCCGGCAGGGCTGCTGAAGACCAAGCACCGTGGAAGAAGGACTCCGAGGCTGAGCACATAGGTGGCAGAGCGCCAACGCACCGCCACCAAACAAACTCCAACCACGCCTCCAACCGCCGCCAAGCGGGCTAGGGTTAGGGTTAACAAATTAAAACAAACTCCGACCACCCCACCAACCGCCACCAGGTGCCATGCATGATGCTTCTCCCGACCGCTGCGTTGATCGCCACCGCGCCCCACCTACCGCCAGAGCACCGTGGAGCACGTGATCTTCCCCGTTACGAGCAGGAGGTGATGGACCCGGCTTACAACAACTATGGCATATCGGCTATGTCCATCATCCGGCGCTTTAACTTGACAAAAGACAGGTGCACCATCGCGGCCATGCGGAGCTGCATCGAGTGGGAACCCGAGTCCTTCCCACTGGCGGCGCTGCTCCTCGGCAAGCCGGTCGTTCCCCTCGGCCTTCTGCCGCCGTCAGCCGACGGAGCCCGCCGTGCCGCTGCCAAAGGAGCAGAGCATGCCACCGTGCGCTGGCTGGACGCGCAGCCTCCCGACTCCGTTGTTTACGTCGCCCTAGGAAGCGAGGTGCCGCTGCGCGTGGAGCAGGTGCACGAGCTGGCCTTCGGGCTGGAGCTCGCCGGGACGCGCTTCCTCTGGGCCCTGAGAAAGCCTAGCGGTGCCGCTGTACTCGATGAAGATGGCGTGGACATGCTTCCTCCTGGTTTCCAAGAGCGCACTCGCGGCCAGGGGCTGGTGACCACGGGATGGGTTCCTCAGGTAAACATACTGGGGCACACGGCCGTGGGCGGGTTCCTGACGCATTGCGGCCGGAACTTGCTGATCGAGAGCCTCATGTTCGGGCACCCGCTTGTCATGCTGCCCATCTTCGGCGACCAAGGGCCAAACGCGCGGCAAATGGAGGTGAAGAAGGTGGGGTTGCAGGTGGCGAGGAATCAGGACGACGGGTCGTTCGACCGCCACGGCGTCGCGACAGCGGTCCGGGCCGTCATGGTTGACGAAGAGGCCAGGAGGGGCTTCGTGGCAGGTGCAGCGAAGATGCAGGAGGTAGTAGCTGATACGGAACTTCATGATAGGTACATCGACGAATTTGTCGAGCACCTCAGATCTTACTACGCCGCTTCATGTGCAAACTGATGGCAGCTTCATTTTTAGTGCTGCCGCCTCGAACTCCACCTCCAGCTTGGCTCTTACTTCATGATAAATAAGAAAAGGGATAAGTATATTTTTCGTCCCTCAATTCTCTCAAAAAATAAAAATGGTCCCTCAACTCTCAAACCAGCAAATCTTAGTCCCTCAATTTTTAAAACCGGTTAAGTTCAGTCCCTCATGTCGCTTGAGTGGTTTTTGTGCTGACGTGGACATGTTTTTGAGTAAAACCAAACACATTACAGGTTTGACCGCCTGGTCACACAGTTTGACTGCCACGTCGTGGAGCCACCACTCGTGCAGGAACTCGCGGCAACGGGCGCCGGCCGGAGGGCTGCAGTACCTCCTCGATCAGCAGCTCGTCCCGGCAATACCATCACGCCTGAGCGCCGCCGGCGACACAAAGGAGGCGTAGCTAGCTGGTCTCGGTTGTAGCACTTACCGTCTTGATTGCGTATGTAGTACCGAAGCTAGCTTGGTTTCGGCGGGAAGACAACACGTGCGTACAGTAGAGGTGCTGGGTCGATTCACAAGGATGCTAGCTATCTCCGTACTAGATAAATTTTCGCCGGATTGAAACACGCTCACAAGCAACACACGTAAACGACCCGCCAGCATAGCGAAGGCAGTCGTCGATGATGGAATTGTCGTCCTGGACGCCCAGACTCTCGTCGGGAGAGGAGCCCGTGCCTCAGCCGCATATGCCTGGAGCTCGAGAAGCATGTCCTTGAGCACCTCGACAGTGCAGAGAGCGAAGGCGGACTGCCGAAGTCGAGCCTAGACGTGGATTCACCCAGTAGCAGCCGATAGTGTCATGCATGAGGTTGCCCATGGACACCCTGGTGACCCTCGAGTTTGCGACGGGTCGATCGCAACCCGCGTGTTGTACGCAGCTACTCCTCCCAGCGTGGCGTGGTGGTGCTGTCCTGCTCACCTGTTGGACAACGACTAGGTGGCGACACCGTACGGCCAATCGTGTGAGCGGTCAGGCCAGGAGGCCACGGACAGCAACCGGCGACCGCACAGGTAGGACAGGGAGCAGCGCTTGGTAGAGAAGGGCAGGATCAGCCGCCATGGAGGTCTCCGCCATGCCCAGCTCTTCCTTCTCGGCCTGCTGGGCAAAGCCACTCATCGGAGGTACTATGACGCCGGGCAGGGTGCTGGGCGTGGCCTCGGCATCATCAAAGGGCACATCGTAGACCTGCTGTGGGACCCTTGACGCCACGGTTCGAAAATATGGCAGGCGCGCAACAGGTGTTTGATAAAATGCCAACTAAAACCATGCCACGAAACCACCCAACCGACACAAGGGACTAAAGTTATCCGGTTTGAAAAGTTAAGGGACTGAGATTTGCTGGTTTCGAAGTTGGGGGACCATTTCCATACTTTTGAAACAATTGAGGGACGAAAAATATACTTTTCCCATAAGAAGAAAATAAATCGCGTGTTTCATGCCTTTCTGCTTTACTGCAGCTATTGTATCTTTGACCTTTAGAGTTTTTATATTGTCGAAAGTTAATCTTTAGAGCTGAGTTACATACAGTACTCACTCTGTTCTTCTAACTTGTTTCTAAATCACACGTATGTGTTTGTTCATTTGGAAGAAAACTCCCTGACAGGCAGGCCCCCGCGTCGCTCCCACAGGGGCGACTCGGGTGGCGTAACCCTAGCCCGCCGGCGGCCCTCGGCCGCCGGTGAAGGTGGCGGCGAGGATCTGGCCGCCCCGTTCTTCCTCGGTGGGCTTTGGATCCATGGCGGCGGCCTCGGCTGGTGGATCGACGCCGGGTTTGCGGTGACCGGTGCTCGTTGGTGTTGGCCGCTCTTCCTCGACGGCGGGGGCAGCGAGGCGACGACGGGTGGCTGCTGTGGTGCGGGCGTCTCGACGGCGCCCGATCCAGATCTGAAGGCCTCCGTCTACTTCAACCAGGGCTGCCTCCGATGGTCCTGCTTTGGGCGGCCTTTGTCGCCGTAGTTTTACTTGTTGGGCGGCTGGAGGTGGGAGGCGACTCTGGAGAAATCCGAGGCCAACAGTGCTGGCCACGACGGCAGCGACGCCCGAGGGCGTCGTACCCTTCTTGTAGGCACCGTCCAGGTCGCCTCCTTCCCCTCTTCCTTCCACCCAGCTCGTATGCCGGACGAAAGCCCAAATCCTTGCCGGATCGAGTGACAGCGGCGCTCCGGGCGTCGTCACCCTCTTGGGGGTGTCGTTCGTGGTGAGCTTGGGGTGGATGTGATGCTTTGGTTGCTTGGCGGCGGTTGGTGGCGTGGTCGGAGTTCGTTTGGTGGCGGTGCTTTGGCGCTCTGCCACCTATGTGCTAAGCCTCGGAGTCCTTCTTCCATGGTGCTTGGTCTTCAGCAGCCCTGCCAGACTTGGCGGAGCGGTGCTTCATCCTACTCCTTGATGGCGGCGTATCTCGACGGCATGGCACAGTGGAGATTCGGTGTCCGACGTGTGGCGATGGACTCGCGCAGGAGGACGAAGTTGTCTGGTGTCGTGGTGACGTCGATGGCTGAGTGGCCAGACAAGGTAGAAGCCTCAATATTTGCTCTGAAGACGGACCTGTGGAAGATGGCGGCGACGACACACGAGTGCGTCGAACCAGTTTGTACCCCAGACCCGGTATGTGGCTCAGCTGGGGCTTCCGACTTTTGATGTTAGGGTTAGGTGAATGGTCTGGGTAGTGGCCCGGCTAGCACCCTGTAAGGGCATATTTATTCCCAATATGTTTTGGTGATTGATGACAATGCTTGTGCGGACTAATTGTGTGCGTTAGTTCTTTCAGAGATTCATCCATTGGCACGAGACGATTTCCTCCCCTCGGTGTTGTAATTCAAGACGGTGTAGCTCCTTCGTTTCGTTGTTGGTGGACTAGTTTCGTAGGAGTCACCGTACTATCAAGAGGGGATCCGTTTTGGTAAGACTTGGGTGGAATCACATGTACACATCATTATCACACCCGTCGTCTTTCCTTCCGCATCTCTGGAGCTGCTGTTTTCCCCTTACTATGCTCTGCTTTGCCCTAGCGGTAGTACCGCGTCCACATCGGTAGTACCGCGCAAAACTCCACAGCGGTAGTACCGCTCACAGAGCGGTAGTACCGCTTGGGTGTTTCGGCCGTAGTACCGCTGTGCGTCTGGGCTACTTCCGCCTCAATTCTCGAACAAATTTTTCGTGTCGGGTTTTGCGGCACTAAGGGAGGTAGTAGGGGCAGTAGTACCTCTCTAAGCGGTAGTACCGCCCTTCCCTAGCGGTAGTACCGCCCTGGCGACAGGGCCCTGGGCAGCGCGGCAGTACTGCTGGGTCTAGGCGGTAGTACCGCCCGGAGCGGTAGTACCGCTCTTCCCTGGCGGTAGTACCGCCCTGGAGTCAGGGCCCCAGGCAGCGCGGCAGTACCGCTGGGTGGAGCGGTAGTACCGCCCGGAGCGGTAGTACCGCCCTTCCCCAATGGTAGTACCACTCTGTGCGGGGCTGGTAAGTGGGATAACTGTTGGATTGTTCTTCCCACTATATAAAGGGGTCTTCTTCCCCAAAGTTGACCTACCTCTTTCCCCCAAAGCTCCATTGTTGCTCCAAGCTCCATTTTCGCCCGATCTCTCTCCCTAGCCAATCAAACTTGTTGATTTGCTCGGGATTGGTTGAAAAGGCCCAGATCTACACTTCCACCAAGAGAAATTTGATTCCCCCCACTTATCCCTAGCGGATCTCGTTACTCTTGGGTATTGAGCACCCTAGACGGTTGAGGTCACCTCGAAGCCATACTCCATTGTGGTGAAGCTTCATGGTGTTGTTGGGAGCCTCCAATTGTTGTGGTGATTGCCCCAATCTTGTTTGTAAAGGTCCGGTTGCCGCCTTCAAGGGCTCCAATAGTGGAATCATGGCATCTCGCATTGTGTGAGGGCGTGAGGAGATTACGGTGGCCCTAGTGGCTTCTTGGGGAGCATTGTGCCTCCACACCGCTCTAACGGAGACGTACTTCCCCTTAAAAGGAAGGAACTTCGGTAACACATCCTCGTCTCCACCGGCTCCACTCTTGGTTATCTTGTCCCTTTACTTTTGCAAGCTTACTCGAGTTATATCCATTGCTTGCTTGCGTGCTCATTGTCTTTGCATCATATAGGTTGTCCCGTAGTTGCACATCTAGACAACCTATTTCATTGCAAGTTTTAATTTGTTAATGAAAAGTCTAAAAATTGTTAGTTGCCTATTCACCCCCCCCCCTCCGGTGGCGACGAGGGAGAGGAGAGGTGGGGGGAGGGACGGCGGCGGGCTAGGGTTACGCCGCCCGAGTCGCCCCTGTGGGAGCGACGCGGGGGCCTGCCTGTCAGGGAGTTTTCTTCCAAATGAACAAACACATACGTGTGATTTAGAAACAAGTTAGAAGAACGGAGTGAGTACTGTATGTAACTCAGCTCTAAAGATTAACTTTCGGCAATATAAAAACTCTAAAGGTCAAAGATACAATAGCTGCAGTAAAGCAGAAAGGCATGAAACACGCGATTTATTTTCTTCTTATGGGAAAAGTATATTTTTCGTCCCTCAATTGTTTCAAAAGTATGGAAATGGTCCCCCAACTTCGAAACCAGCAAATCTCAGTCCCTTAACTTTTCAAACCGGATAACTTTAGTCCCTTGTGTCGGTTGGGTGGTTTCGTGGCATGGTTTTAGTTGGCATTTTATCAAACACCTGTTGCGCGCCTGCCATATTTTTGAACCGTGGTGTCAAGGGTCCCACAGCAGGTCTACGATGTGCCCTTTGATGATGCCGAGGCCACGCCCAGCACCCTGCCCAGCGTCATAGTACCTCCGATGAGTGGCTTTGCCCAGCAGGCCGAGAAGGAAGAGCTGGGCATGGCGGAGACCTCCATGGCGGCCGATCCTGCCCTTCTCTACCAAGCGCTGCTCCCTGTCCTACCTGTGCGGTCGCCGGTCGCTGTCCGTGGCCTCCTGGCCTGACCGCTCACACGATTGGCCGTACGGTGTTGCCGCCT